GGTGCGTTCCTCAGGGGTGCGTTATGGAGCTTCAGGTCCTGAGGGAATAAATGCTTTTACATGCCAGTCCAGCGTTTTCCTTCATCACCACCATGGAAAACAGTCTGTGGTGATTTTTGTTTCACAGGTTTACCTGCTTAATACAGGGACCTCCAAAGCCTGGGGGGGGGGCAGTGTTGTGGAGATGACACAGTCTTCACTAGTGGAGATAGTTACAAAGCTTTCTTCGTTATGAATTAACGATCCATGTTTTTATTGAACATTTGAAGATAAAAAACAAACAAACAGAAACTCTTGTAGAGGACATAAAGTCAGAGATAGAAACGACAAGGAGCAGGTGCATCTAGTACAGGTAGAGCTGCTGCAAAAACCCACAGAGCTCAGCAGCCAGCTCAACTAATTCTGGATCCTTTGCTATTAGTTAGCATTAGCAGCACATGCTGCATCCGATGTGTAAGGACCTTTATGCTGAGCACTGTGACTCACAGCAGTGGTCCTGGGTCAGCCCTGACTTTGTGTTAAACTAATCCTAAAGTAATAATGGTATTTCTAACCACTGATATACCACAACTTTTTCCTTTCAACAGCTGCTGAAAGTTACGGGGACCTAGCTTCTATCGGACATTTATATAGAGATCCTCCAGCTTCAAACTGTATTACCCTTCAAGGACCTGCAGTTTAAAAAAGCGCCCCTCAAACAGCCAAACCCATCTGTTCGCTGATTGGATTGTTAAATTTGTGATTGACATGACATTGACCAATCAGCTGAAAGGAAGAAAAATAGGGTCAAAATTCGTACTTGTAACTTGAAACTTGAGTGCAGAGTTTCACACGTACTTTTTGGCTAAGTCCACACACAAATCTTTTTTACGCACACACAAATTATTTTTACACACACAAATCATGATTTACAAGTACAAGATATTTATGACCACAATTTGAGCCCATATTTATGACAGCTGAACTGGATGAGCAGCAGAAAATGGATGGATGTTACCAAAATGTGTGATTCCCTGTGACAAACACAATGAACGACCAAAAGCAGGGCATCAAAAACCATTTTATGTTTGTTTACAAATAGCCTTCAATTGTCGACGCACTAATTCACGTGAAGCACTGATGACTGTGTTTCATGAAACTACCACAAGAAGTAACTCAGTGTTACGACACAGAAAATCACAAACGTGCACAGGAGAACCAGCCGGCAGCGCTGCAGCCAGTGAGTCAGAGGATGTTGCCTCCACCTGAAGAGAGCAGTCGGTCAGTGTTTATCCAAAGTTATCAGAAATAATACACTTTTGAAAAGGAACAAACATGACGTGTCCACTTACATCCCCACTGTGGAGATCCGTCTGCAGATATTTGCCATCTTTTTCTCCCTTCCTTTGTTGGATAAGACTGCTTTGCCCCTGTGTCTGTGCCGCAAAGTATCCAGAGAGAAGCTGTAAATATAAAAGCACATTCCTCAGTTCCAACTTCTTGAAGCTTGTGATGCTTTTTTGTTGATAAAGTTGCTAATGCTGACTTTAGTAAGAGCTGTATTTGTCAAACTAGACACAGGCCCCAGGGCCAGCAGCAACCAATACTGACACGAAACGCTTCAGAAATTGGTCAATACTGCAGGCTGTTGTGCCTCTCAGTTAGTCCACCTCCTCTGAATAGTGCCATACTTTTTGTTCAGAGTCTTGCTGTTGTTCACTGGTTTTGATGGGGGGCTCTCTGGGGTTAGGATGGGAGCGGGTCCTGGAAGAGCTTCTGATGGAGTTTCATCTGGATTGTGCGGCCTGAAGTAAGACATGTTCGTGATAAATGTTACCATGTAGTTAGGATACCAAAAAATATGCCTGTTGGCTCTAGTTCACCTGTCCTCCACTGAGTATCTGTCGTCCTTGTTCATGAAAGAGCAGCTGGACTCTGAGCTCATGGGAGACGGGCAAAAAGGGACAGCCTTCTTGCTGGAAGAGAGACGCTTTCTGGAGTCTTGCTTTTTCCTATCCTGGAGACAAAGAAGACCCTCCCTGTGGTTTATGGCTGATAACATGAGAAAAAAGCAGGAAGGTTTATTCAGGAAACCTCCCTTACCTGAGTTTGGCTGGAAATTACTGATACACAGACCCTTCTACGGATGTGCTTCTTGTTAAAAAACAAACAAACAAACAAACAAACAAACAAACAAACAAACAAACAAACAAACACACAGATAAAAGGCAGATTCAAGTTCAAAAGATTGGTTAAACCTACATTAGACGCTACAAGTATCCAAATATGCATACCTGCTGAGTATCTTTCTTTATGTTGTCACTTTCCTCTGGATCTACAACAATAAATCCAGCAATTACTCAAACTTTGCACACAACTGCAGAAGAAGACAAGTGACAAGAAACACACCACTGATGCAGAAACCTGTGGAGGCTCTGGGATCTGTGATGTTTCTGCAGGAGCTCTGCTGCTGCTGCTGCATCATCATCCTTCTGGCTTCTTCCAGCTCAGCTAGATTTCTGTCATATCGCTTCCTCAGGCGCTCCACGTGAGCCACCATGAGTTCCACTGCTCTACTCACTCGAGCCTCCTAAACAAAGCAGGAAATAAAGAGAAAACTCCTACTCCCAGTGCTGGTCCCAATATAGCAGTAACACTTGTTTTTAACTGAGCCTGACCCATAGTGTACCTGATGCACGGCACCGAGCACCTCTGCTGTGTTAGAGATCCGTTCCACGGTGCCTCCGAGGATGTCCAGGGACAGCTCCAGCTTCTGCAGGATCTCGCTGCGCTTGTTGTCCAAACACAGGCTCTTCAGTATCTGAAATCCCACAGGATCACACTTGTATTTGCAGCCTGCTGGGACCAAAAGGACTCACTACAGATAATAGCCTGCTACGTACAGTACCTCCAGGGTCTCCCTGCCTCTGCTCAGCTCTAGCTGGATGTTCTCCTCAGCCAGGTTACGGGCGTGCTCCTCCGCCTGCAGCCTCTGCTTCAGGGTGTACTGATCACAGCGGAGAGACAAGGCGATCTGAGAGAAAGCTGTCTAGGAGAAGAAACAAAAATATAACAACTTCATTCAAGTTCTCAGCGTCCTCCTGCATTTCAGATACCAGTGGCTCTGCCTGCTGTTGAGATTTAAGGATAAATAAACTTTAATGAAACCGTAGCTGTTCAGAAATACAGAAATCTTGAACTTATAATCAAATAATCCTGTATGTAAATTTTCAAGTGCAGCACATTAAAAAACAAAGTTTAAAACCTACTGAATGGATTTAATGAAGGGGAAGTGTACACTACTTACCTCCAAATCATTCTCTGACATCTCTACACTGTTAGGAAACAAGAAGTCTGACAGTTTGATATCACTTCTAATTAAATCTGGCGGTTATCATTTGGTTGTATTTGTACGTATGAATGTCACCTATTGAGGCCGACGCGCTCTATGATGGGCAGCTCACTCCAGCTTGCGATTGGCGGCTCCTCTTGGCTAGTTTCTGTTAAAAAGTTCAAACTGATTTAGAAACTTTTTAGACCTTTTTAAAAAATTATTATTCTTAAGCCATTAACCTTCTCCGCTGTCGTCACTGTCCGGCATGTTGGGCAGGTTGTAGCTGCTTATCTCTGCCTCTGGCTGAAAATATTTGAAAGATATTATCAGCCCTCCGAGGTGTTAAATGACTGATTAAAGGAACGGGTAGGACAGCTGGTTAGACTCACCTCAGCGCTCATTACTGTGTCAGCCTCTTTCACCAGAGTTAATCCAAATGTCAGAGAAAGCCTGATTACAGTATTCAGATTCACTTCAGAGTTCACAGTGGACTCTTCATCATTTGTGAAAGCACAAACATATTCTCACGGGTCAGTGTTTGGCTCATTTGCTCCTCAGCCTTTCTCCAGTCCTGAGAATAGATAATCCTATTAAGAGATCCACAGTCAGACCAGAATAGGACGACTGGCCCAAGAGGCTCATGGGAAGCTGTGTTTTTGTATGTGGTAAATTAAAACTAGTGTTGTACCAGTTAATAAATCAAATGCACCAATTCCACAGTTCACCCTGCATCCATACTATATAATACACCATGTTATACTACACTCTATATTCTTGTAGAAGCAAAGGGAGTAGCTTGTTCACTTAATCTCATGAATAAATAATTAGGTTTTAAAGGTTTCAGCAGGACAGGACACAAGGGTACAGGGGTCCCATGAGGGGATTACATAGATCAGGAACCGTAGATCTTATTAACACTCTGCTTCCCGTTTTTCACTCTACATACACATTTGTGATCTGCATCAGTCGAATATTAGACCTTTATTTACCCAAGGCCATTGGAGGACAGTTCAAGCTTTTTGCACTGTAGAGGCTGGTGAGAAACAGTGTTTCATTTCAGGCTGTGTCCATACGAAATGACAACAAACATCTTGAGGTCCAGCTAATGCACGCCAAAGCAGACCGACAGAGACACCTAATGGCCATGCACCAAATATTTGGGATGAATACCCAGGCTCACTGGACTGGGTTGGTGGTTCAATCCCAGGGCACTCTGGTATTCCCGCTGAGCCCTGAGTTGGCCTTGATGTGTTTATAGAAGGGTGCATGTTGAGGGAAGAAGCTTAATGGTAGAATGAGGCATGAAAACCTGAGGCCCTTCCTGTAATTTCTCCCAAAACCTGAATTTCACTACATTATACAGACTAAAGTTAACAGAGTTATGTAACTATGTATTACACCGTTACACATAAGTGAACTTCAGATTATCAGTTAGTGATACAAGACCTCAGTAATGAAATCTAAAAAAATAAATCACTCAGAGCAGCCGACTTTGGAGAATCTCCACTTTTATTAATAGAAAAACTGTATTTAGTAGAGGCGCTGGGGTTTGCCCATGGTGCTCTTGACGTAGAGGGCACGCACGTTCTGCCAGTTCTTCTTCAGCAGCGACACCAGGAAGTTGACAGCCAGGTGGATGTTGTACACAAGTTCGTCTTCTGTCATCTTCACATGTCCTACGGCCACAGCCAGACAAAGCACCTACAACGAGCAGCAAGGTTACTCCACACTGATCAACTTCTTCAAACCAAGTGTTAGATAATGAAACCGTAAAGCCAGGAAGCAGCAGAACACACCTTCTTCATCTGGAATTTGATGGTGGACTTGACTTCATCCACCTTTGTGTTCAGGTTCTCATTGTGGGTGAGCAGTGAGGGGAACTTGCCGGCCTTGTTCAGCCCAGGACCCAGGATACGAGGGATCTGCTTGATCAGAGACTCAGAGGCCAGGAAAGCATCATACTTCTTGGCTGGAAGAGGAAGAAACAAGCACGTTAGGAAGCCTTGACAGACTTTGGTCACAGATGAGGCAGTTTGTAATCTTGTGGACACCGTACCGAGCTTCTTGACCAGCTTCTTGTTCTTGTTGAGCTTCTTCAGAGCCTCGATGTCCATGTGTGGCATGTCGGCAGCTTTGGCCTCGTCGCAGTGCTGCTGGTCTCCCAGGATGCACACGGAGAACTTTGGCCTGGGGAGAGTCTTCAGCCTGCATGTCAACAAAACATTTTTAGTGACTGTGCTCACAACCACATTTCAACCTTTGAGAAATAATCAACTCATTCAACATGTGATGATATGATTTGACCCTTTATGAGACCACCTGACTTTACTGTGGAGTAGAAAAAGTCTTACCCATACCACCACAGGGGCTGGCGTCCAGCTGACCTCTTAGGTAGTAATACAAAGCAAATTGGTCGGCATGAGGGCGTGAACTTAGCAGCTCAGCCACTCAAAGCCTCCCCTCATGTTTTAAGACCCAGGGTAGGGGTCCGCCTGCTTCGCCTTCCCCAGCAGAAAGCTGAGTAAGCTCAGTCAGACTACCCAGAGTACTTCTCCATGTCTGCTCCTGGCCTGTCTGGACTTTGATTTTTTAATGTACTACATGGCCGTTAAACAGGCCGCTGTGATAATCAGACAGGGCTGGAGACGCACAGGGAAAAGGGTGGGTGAGACAGTAAAAGGTCGAACCTGACAGTGCCGGAGAAACGCTTGTCCTTCTGGGGATCATAGTTTTTCAGGCTGATCTGAAGCTCCACCGACTCCACAAACCTACAAAGAGATGACAGGTTACACACATGTCCGGTATTTTCAGTATTACACTTTAACCATTGGTTATCACAGCTGTTCGGATCTGCTTACTTCCTCGGCTTGGCCACGGAGCCCTGCAGGACCTCCTTCACGGCTTCATATAAAGTATCCCTGGAGACCTTACTGTAATGTAGAAAACGTCAGGAAAAGAGTTAACGTCACTAGAAATGCCACCAAGAGAAATAAGACGGCTAATGATGCTAAAGCACAGCGCTAAAAATTCACCAAGCAGCCACAAAAGTCGTGAAAAAAATATGTGCCGGTTATTTAAGAGCATTAAACTAAACAGCAGAGATTAGATGAAGACTGTAAATGTATTTTAAATACGCGGATGACGACGGATTACATTTGAGAAACTTAGCGCGCTGACGGTGCACCGGCGATGAACCGGTCCCATGCCGCACCTTTAACGTCAATAAACTACAACATACCATGAAATACAAACAAAGCCGGACAATATTACGACTCTACGTATCTAGAAGAATAACACAGTAGAGAAAAGCGCGTTTAAAATGAGGTTTTTAATCATTTATTGGGAAAAATGCGGCCTGACCTCATCTTGGTAGCTCGTCGCTCTCGTCGTGCTACGCTGGAAAAGGAAGTGACGTCGTACGTTACGCGACATAAAGGCGATCCGTGACGTCATCAGAAAGCGCGAGCTTTTTTCTTTTTTTCCCCAATAGAAATCAACAAAATCTATATCATAAAACAGCAAGCATAAAAATATCTGTTTAGTAGTAATTGAAAAAGGTGTGCCTGTGAAGAAACATATACATAAAAATAAAATACCTGTAAAACTACAGAAAGATTCTTACCTACTTATAAAGCTAAATAGTTACATAATAGCTACATAATTCAGCTGTCTTTGTCAAACTTTGTCATTACAGTTTTTATGCTGTTGTAAATTATAATATCAAAAGTTGAGCTCTGGCTGTTTCAGGTACTTTTTTTTGTTCCAAAATGATAGTCCTGTGAAAAATCCCTGACAATTTCTATAAGGATAAAGAGTGTAAATGACAACCAAGTGCTGTTAATCAGATGCATTTGCTTGAACTCCCTTATAAATCAGTTTTCTTGTGTGGAGCATTTAGGTATGTTAAACCAAACAACATATCGGCACAAACACCTCATACCAACTGGTGGAGTGATGATCTGTGCTTGTTTTGCAGCCACAGGAGCCTGGGCACCTTGCAGTCATTGAATCGACAATGAACTTCTCTGTATACCAAAGTATTCTAGAGTTAAATGCGAGGCCATTGGTCTGACAGCTAAAGCTTGTCACAAATTGGGTCATGTGACAGAACAATGAGCCTAAACACATCAGCTAATCTGTAACAGAATGACTGAAAAAGAGTCAAGATGTTGCAATGGCCCAGTCAAAGTCCAAACTTCAACCTGATTGAGATGCTGTGGCAGGATTTTAAGAGAGCTCAATGAGGTGAAGCAACTTTAAAAAACAAACAAAAAAACAGTGGGTCAGTATTCCTCCACAATATGAGATTCTGATAAAGCAAAACAAAGCAGAAAGACTTCAAGTTATTGCTGCTACAGGTGGTTCTAGAAGCTACTGAATTATGAGGTGTGTATTAATAGATTTTGAGGCGCTGTAAGACATTTTTTGGGAACCCCGAAATTTGAATAACTTTTTTTAACCTTTAAAAAAATGGAGGCTTTGAGACAGTGTGGTCACCCGAATGCCAATCACTCTCATATCTTTTGGACGTGTACACAATTGACCTCATTTTGGGACAGTATATCCAAGTTAACAGATGACATCATGTCCTATGCATCCCTAAGGATCCCAGGATCTTCCTACTGGGTTTGCTACCCAGTGATTTGATTCTAAAAAAGGAAAGATATATTTTTTAAATCCCGTTGATCGCATTTGAAAAGGCCATAACAAGGAAAATCCTTAAGAAGGATCCTTCCCGAGTAGAGCAAGTGCTAGAGATTATAGAGGAAATACATCTGATGGAGAGACTGACTTTCTTTCTACGACTTAAATGTCATCTTTTTCAACAACTTGGACTAAACGGCATAAATATAAACACAGGCTTGAAGATTCTGTCACTTAATTCATGATGCTTGAAACAGTGCCCCAATTTGTTCCCCTTTTATTTTTGTTATATTCTTGTCACAATGAAAATTCAAAATAAAAAGTTGCAAAAAAAACCCTGAGGCTTTGAAAATGAATACAATTAATTGACATTATGATCTAATCCACCCATCCTTTCAGCCTAGCTTCTGCTTATCCAAATTCAGGCTGTGGTGGCAGCAGGTTATGCAGGGCCCTTCTTCCCAGCAACACTTTCCACTTCCACACGGGGATTCTGAGGCATCCCCAGGTCTGAAGACAAGAAATACATGCAACAAATTTGAGGTCTACCCCAGGGTCTCCTTCTAGTTGAGTATGCCTGGAAACCATCCAATTGGAAGCCCCCATGAGGCATCCTCACCAGATGTATAAGCCAACTCAATGGAGCCAGTTATAATTTATAATAATTATAAAAATAAATACCATATAAGTAATAATAATGTTTGCTAAATGAGATATTGCAAAAAAAATTGCAAATATTTGTAAAGACTGACCAATAAAAGTCTGCAGGTTACAGTAATTCAGTATCAACTTTGTCCTAATGCTAGATTGAGTTAGATACATGGGTGTGTTGTGTTCAGGAGTGCAAGGATTAGCATTTAGGAATCGTTATTGTAGGACCTGTGAACAGTCAGAGTAATAAAAAATAATATCAGCCCTGTCAGACTGGTGAATTAAGATTCTTCATTGTCAGTTTAATTTATTTATACAGGTTTTTTTTCATCTAAATTAGTTGAAAAGGTGGTGAGGTCACGTGTCTGCGATTCGTTTTAAAGCAGCTTGTAGAGACTTCTTCAGGAAGGTCTCATTTAACATCAGGCAGCTGGACAAGGAGTGTTTGTGTGCAGCAGTCACCTGGAAATGCAATCATTTATACGCAGAAGGTTATCACACACCATTTCATCCACTGTACAGACGTTATCTGATCCCAATCTGCATACTTACATCAGAGCCGTATTTGGTGAGTACTGTGAGCATCATTTTTGCAAACTTCACAGACTTTGTGAAACGAGGAGCCTGACTGACGAGCTGTTCTGTGAACTGTGTGAAAAGTTCTTCATTCAAGACAGGCTGTTGGGGGGAAACAGGCAAAACAGGTGGCTCAGTGGCAGTGAGTATTATGACTAACAGCTCTTGCAGCTCTTTCCCATGAATAATCACCTGGATTACCTTTGAGTCTAGCAAGCTGTGGATAATAGACAGCACTGCCTCACTCCATGCAATCTTCAATGTCATTCTTTAAAAACAAAACATAAAAAAGCAGGAGTGTTAGTCATTTACTACTAACCATGTGTCCGTTATTATGCGAAGCTTCTTTGTCGCAGCAGTTACAAGTGAAAACAGAACGTAACTTTATACTTACTGAACCACCAGCAGTCTGTAGTGAGAATCCAGGCAGCTTTCTATCAGTCTGCTTAGCAGCTCAGCCTGTGGAGGCCCTGAAAACAAAACAATGTTCAAAAGGATTAATTCATGCTGGGAGCAAAGCCTGAGTAAAAGGAGCTCTATCACATCAAAGCATCTGTCCTGTTAATGTGTACTTAAACCTGCTGAGTTGCAGAGCTCTGCTGCTCTGCAACTCTCCGATTTCCCTGAAGCAATCAGTGCACATACACGCTCACCAGCTGGGTCATGAGGTACATCTTTTCAACTGCTTGTTAGCATACATTATCAATCAGTATGAGCAATTGTATCCGTAGAGAGATGAACACATGACCCGCTGAAGTTATAACCGAGCATCGGAGTGAAGAAGAAAGGTTATTTTAGTGACTTTGAACGTGACATGGTAGTAGGTGCAAGCTGGGCTGGTCTGAGTATTTCAGAATCTGTTGATCCACTGAAACAGCTGGAATCAGAGGAGAATGGACAGACTGCTTCAAGCTGGGCACGGCAACAGTAATGTAAATAACCACTAATTGCAACCAAGGTATGCAGAAGAGCATCTCTGAATGCACACCACGATGAACTTTGAAGCAGATGGGCTACAGCAGCAGAAGACCACACTGGGTGTCACTCCTGTCAGTAATCTCCAAAAGTTGATTCTGTTCATCTGGACGTAGCGTTTTGTGGGAGAAACGTTTCGTCACTCATCCAAGTGACTTCTTCAGTCTCAGCTGACTGCAGGTTTCCCCAAATCTTATAAACAGTACATTTGCTGTCAGTAATAACAGGAAATGGGCTCAGCAACACTGGACAATAGGAGATTGGGAAAAATGTTGCCTGGTCTGATGAGTCTCGATTTCTGCTGCAACATTCAGATGGTAGGGGGAGAATTTGGTGTAAACAACATGAAAACACGGATCCATCCTGTCTCGTATCAACTGGTCAGGCTGGTGGAGATGGTGAAGTGATGCACTTTGCAGAAAAACTGATTGACATGTTGCATCACAGTATTATGAAAAGTGCAGGACCTATTTATCACTTTTGCACATGTCACACTGTTTTAACTGAGTGCTTGTAAACACCAGACCTTATTAAATCACATACCATCTTAGCATCTGACCAAGATCACAAACCTGAATGAAGGACATCATTAAGTCATTTCTGTAGTCACTTTCAGTGAAACGTTTTCCTTTCATCTCACCTATGTTCTCTTTCTCTAGTACTGGTCCGATTAGAGCCTGGCACACTGGTCTGGGATAGCGGCTACACAGTGATGTCACTGCGGTAACCAGACACCTGGAGGCCGGCTCTGACAGGGACAGCACCTGTAAGGTGAAACAATATTCTGTCAAGATGAAACACAGCAACACATGTTGCTTATTTTTCATATTCGGTGTTATACCTTCTCCAGCAGAAGGCTCTTGATGAGCGTTGCAGCAGTGCTGTAGCTGAGGTCAGGAGAGAGGGCCAAAACACTGCTGCACAGTTTAGGCAGCGCCTGGTCAGGTAAGCCCGGCAAATTCAGCATGCTGCATAACACCTCCACCTAAACAGGGCAGGTAAGGACCTGGGTTCAGTCCAATCACAACTGCAGATTATACATAAAATATTGATATATTCTCTGGAACCCAACAGAGACCAATAAGAAAATGCCTCTGATACTCACTTAATGGTCCCAACCACTGGTGTCAGTCCTATATTAAATATCTTTTATTCCTCCTATAAATATGATCTTGTTTATAGGAGTGTGTGCTTAAGATACACCCTCAGCTCAGCCCTAAGGATTTTAAATAGTATAACAGATTTAAAAGATTGCCCTACACCTTCATTCTTTTTAATGAACAGCAGGGGGCGACTCTTCTGGTTGCAAAAAGCAACTCTGGTTTCATGGAAATGTGTGAAAACAGCTCTTTTGCACTTTAATCGACAGTTTCTATCTTGTTGAATAGTTTTATTTTGTAATTTAAGTCAAATCCACCCGTTTTCGAAGTAAAAGCGCAGGTTAAATTATTGAGGACATACTTGGTTTGAGTCACAGTTGTTCAGCACTTTGAACACATCTGTGGAGCTCTGGTCCCACTGAAACACACAAAAAGAATGACAGTGAGACTAAATGTCACTTACTGTCTGCACTGAATGAGCTAGAAGAAAATAAAATCTTCTTACCTCCGTCTGACTCTCCAACAACTCTTTTATCTGAGGAATACAGACCTAATAAACACAAAAACAGTAAATCAGCTCATCGTTTTACAACTTCTGCTTCTCTAAGGACAAAACAAACATTGAAATTGGCAGAAAGATTTCAGTGTGGAGAGGGTACCCTTCTTTGTATAGTGGTTTTTACCTTTATCTGTTCAGGCAGGCCACCACACGAACTGTCTGAGGCTGGAGTTTCTGCTGCAACATCACTTTCTGGCGCTCCCGACATTTCCTTGGGAACTCTCAGTTCTTCAGCTGTGACACACTCATTATCATCCATCTTTATCCGTTTACTCTGTGATCCCGTTTCTTCACCATCAGACCCCACGCTGACAAAACTGCCCTTTCTCTTCCTCTGTGTCCCCAGCTCAGATAAATCAGATGTACTCTGGGATTCAAATTCTGCCGTTTGACCACTGAAGCACTTGGTCCATCCTCCAGTTTCAGCAGATCCGATCAAACCCTGGGAGAGCTCCTTTAGTCTTTGGCTGCACGGTGTGGTGTACAGAGGCACCTCACGGTGGGTTTCCAGGTCTCTTTCGAGTTGTCTGCACAGAGCAGTCACCCACGGGTTTGGACGAGAGTCCTGGCTGAGACATTTGATCAGATGGAGTACAGCGGTCCGAGGAAGAACAGAGTGCACCAGGTGGATGAATGACAGCAGGTTTTGTTTAAATAAAGGTGGAAACAGGCAGACTAGTGGTTTACTAGAAGAGGTAAGGAAAAACCAAAGAAACCGTCAGCTGGTCTCTGAAGTTGTGTAGACAAAGAAAAAGTTCATGTTTAAGAAAAAAGCAGGAGTTAGAAAAAAAACATAAAACTGATTTGTGACTATCAGTATTTATGACACTTTTTTTCACAAATTAAATCATTTTGGGGGAGATTTGTGCTTGCTAAATGCTGATTAAAGGGACTTCTTAGAAAGGAATTTTGTGAATTTTTCTTAATCAGACTGCAATAAAAGCAAAGAAATGTGGCAAAGGACCCCAGATCTAAAACAAAAGAGGTAAGGAAACACTGATTTGATCTTCACCCTACTTTTCACACATGTATGTGTGTGTGTTTACCCTAAAATATCTATGTGAATACTAAACTAACTCTACACTGGAGCATTTACGTTCAGTCTAAAGGCACACAGCCTGTGGGACTGATGACTTAAGGAGGCAGAGAGCCCAACTTATAATTTAACTGGTTTTTTTTTTCTGTGTACTTTACTCACACGGTTAGAAACTCAGTGTCAGCCTCGGTGTGGGTTATTTCGTCTCTGCACAGTGTTTCTATGAAGCCACACAGTGAGCTCTCGGGGTTAGCCCGTTGCTGCCTGTGGAAGACGCCCAGCGCTCTCGAGGCCCCGGAGGTTCCGGACATCAGTGACCGAAGCAGCAGCCTCGACTGCCCGTCAAATCCGCTAAGAAACATGCCGGAGTTCAGACAGCTGTGTGCCCCATCTCCGGGTTTGTCCTTGCCGTCTCTCCCAGACACCTGTGGCTCCATCCCAACCTCACTATACCGCCACTACTGTTTACATTTCTTCTTCGACACCGGTAAAAGGCTGAGTTCAACATCGCCACCTAGTGGTCAGATGTGCCATTCATTCAGCTCACTGGCGACACAGCACGATTTATCCTGCGGCGTATACTAGATAAACAAAAGCCAGAAATTCCTGAATAGAACAAGCATCCTGAGGCAACCGAAGCGAGATTGCCATCATGTCTCAGTCGTTTCCACTTTAAGTTTTTATTTGGAGACCACAGTGGAGCTACTCAACAGAATAGATAAATACTTTGTTTGCTTAAAGGTTAGACTCGTCCAACTAGCCCATATTTAATTACTTTTTTTTTTAATAAAAATTCATTACGTGAATTCATTGTATGGTGTGATTTAGGCACATCCTGACCCCCATGCCATGTGGGCATACCATTCAGGGAAATGCCCCGAATAGCACAGCACCAATGAAGAAAACACTTTAGTGAGACAAAGTGAATCTGTTTTATTTTTTGTGTACAGGTACAATTTGGTTAAAAAAAAAAAAAGACATAAAATCATTTGTTCTTGCCAAAACTGGGAAGTGTGTGACAACTAATCATTTTTATACAGATATCAGACATTAGGACAGTACAATTTTTTTTTTAACCCTTGGGCAATTAAAACTACCATCGACATAACACTTTAAAAATATCTAAATGGCCCAAGCTACTAGAGAAATGTCTACATTGGCACGCTCAGAAGTTGGAAGAGAAGCGGACAGTTGGCTAAACACTTAACACATAACAGCTGTAGTATTTAAAAAAAAAAAAAAAAAAAATTATAAACCCCAACTAGAAACAAAGGTGTCTTACGCTGAGACCACTAGCCATGAGTTCTGGAGTGTCCAAGTGTGCACAGACTTGGAGACAGGTTCCTGTCTGAATTTAGGAGTCCTTTAAGTGAGATGTACTTTCCACTCGATGATCCTGAGTCAAAGCTACTCGTAGGCTGTTTCAGTAATAATTTCATGAAGACACAGGTGGTTTTTAAAAAGGAAAGAAGAAAAAAAAAAAAGGCAGCAGCCATGCATTTTCCAGGGACCAATGATGGTTATAGACCCCATTCAGTGGTTTCAAACACTGACCAAAAAAGGAAAAAAAAAATAAAAGAAAGGGGGAGGGAGATGAGCACTCAAACTACACTGTTTTAGTAAGGTAAAAAAGTAAATTCAAGGTCGTCGTCATCATCATCATCACCAAGAAGGGTCATGGCTATGAAGAAACTAATTAGATCCACTCCATCATCTTCATCCTCAAAGTCATCTTCTCCAAAATGCTGCAAGGACAAAGAGAGTGAGGGGAGAGTAAATACAACCTTATCTTAGACACACTAAGAGGGAGGAGAACGTAAAACACTCACGGATCACCATGTAGTTACCAGAAAGGACGCGCTGTGTCGACTTTTGTCATGTCGGTAAAGGCACTCGCTTTTGAAAGGGCAGCATTGGTATCGAGAATAGTAGGTGCAGGATTTCTTACTGGAATCAAACAAGAGGCAGCAGGGAGGGGTCAGTTAAATGTTTATACTGGCTTGAGATGACAAGCAATTTTAAAATCTAAAAAATAAAAAAAATATTGTGATTTAAGTGAAATATGCACAGGGCTTTAAGCAGTATATGCATATTTAATTTGTTGTGCATCAGCATTATAGATCCCCTTTCAATTAATACCTAGAGTTCTCCTTTGCTAAATTTTTCGTCATTACTTCTCTTCACACCGATTTCTGTTCCTTTTGCATAAATTTGATTCTAATTGCCATGTTGTAAAAATCTGTGCTAAATCATTCACTCTGTAGCTCCCATTGTTAATTAGTTAGCAATGCTACACACCTGTGTTTCAGTACTCTTCCTTAGATATGACATCTGCTGCACACTCCATACTGTTAATATCAGAATGACCTATGACCTAATGAAAATCTTGAAAACTGGTGAACTGTGCCGAGTCGAGTACGTACTAATGGTAAAGGGACTTAAAGGCGCAATAAGCAAAAACAAAAGCAAGTTTTTGCTGAATGGGAGATCTGTAGCAGCTCAAGAGATTCAATTTATTGGGAGGAGTATATTTATTTAAAAGACAAAACAAACCTTTAGAAATCAACTTTGGACAGCTAATATATATATTGTTTAGTATTAAGCTTTGCTTGTTCCATATTCAGTTTTCCAGCAAAACTTATTTGAGTCCATAAGAAAAGATTCATTCTTATATCTGGAGGAAGATTTTTTTTTTTCAATAAATATTAACGTTAGCCCGCGACTTTGTTCCAGTTTTGAATTTTGGCCCACTGTGTATTTGAGTTTGACACCCCTGGCCTAACCAAAGGATTTAGATGAGTAGTTTAATTCAGGAACCTTAATCTACAGCAAGACTCACTATATAATTTTTTTTTTTTTAAATCTATAGTAAGAAATCTGAAGAAAAGGCTGGACTATTGAAACTAACATCCACACAACATACCCAGGAAGACAGACTCAAAGGATTTTCTAAACTCTGCAGACATGAGATCTATTCCTCACCTGAATTTTTGCTTGAACTCAGTAATTAGATCTTCCTTTTCTTGTCCTTCAACCCAGTATTTGTGCGGCACATAAAAGGCAGACCTCACGCGGCACTGTGGGCAGCGTCTGAGAAGAGGGAAAAAGTCAATCAGAATCACTTCGAGCCCTCTCTGGTTTTGTCAGATCCTGCTGCCTCCTAAATATTACAGAAACCTACTTTATCACATCCAGGCCGAGGTCTTTGGTCTTCCTCCAGGTCATTATGCATTGTAAACAGAAGGAGTGATTGCAGTTGGGCAAGATGCCAAAGACACCGCTTTTCAGATCAGTCTTTTCATACACTTTGTCCATGCAGATCCCACAGGTCACGTCTTTGCTCCTGAGGAAGGCCTCAGTTTCCTCCTCCCTTCCCTGAGAACCAGAAGCTGCAGCGGCAGCCCCATTCTCCGGGGTTTCAGATGGGGAGATCTCCTGAACATTAATAGAAGGCTTTGGGTTCAGCCAAGTTCTCTTGCTGAATGAGCATGCTTAAGATAACGCAGTCAAATTAAATGCAAACCTCATTTCTTCCATCGCAGGCACCTGCTTCAGCAGCTTCTGAGCTTTGAGACGATCCCAGACCAGATTCTGTAGAGGAAAAGCAAATTAATTAGATCAACTTCTACGTTCAGGTCCATCTACAAACTCATGCAATACCTTCTGACTGCTCCTCAGCGATATTCGCTGGCAGGTGCCCAGTGTCGCATTGAGGGTTTGAGGTATCAGCTGCCAACTCTGATCTGCTGCACTCTTGTTCAGATGTCACCTCAGCTTGCAGAACTGCAGGTTCTGACCCTCGCCTATCAGGTGACGCGTGAGCCACACTGGAGGAGGAGACCGTAGGTACTGAAGCCCTTCTTCCTGCAACAGTTGTGCCAGCTTCAGACTGAAGAACATGGAAAAACCTAGCAGAGAAAAAATATAAGGGATTAAATGATGGATTTTCTTAAATAATAAACATGGGGGGAGGGGGGGGCAGCTTACCTGCAGCGCTCACCATACCAGCATCCACCTTTCTGATAATACCGACATATTTGGGATGAGTGTATGGTTGGCCATTCATGACGATAATTGCATCTTGAACCAAATCTGCAAGAGCCATTTATGAAACGCCTGCAATGAGGTGAAAACCACAAATCGCAAAGTAAATTTCTGCCACAAACCTTTTTTTTTTCTTTTTTTTAAGTAGCAAGATTGGTTTTACATGCCGCTCCAGTGATTTGAACTGTGATGACTGCTAGTGTTTATAGGGTTATTTAGAATGCAAGTTCATAACGATGAGCCGCTGGTATTTTATTCTTTATAAGTGAAGATGCTCAGATTTTTATTGAGTGTAACCAGAAAGTATAGGATTAGGAGTGGATCAGACAGCTCAGGCTGAGGTGTTTGGAGACAAAGTTTGAGAAGCAAGGATGAGATGTTTGGACATGTGAGTGAGCTGCTCTGGCCAAGCCTAAAGGAACAAGCTGAAAAGAGTAGTCGAGCCGTTTTTATAGTTTAGTAAATTCTTACAGGTGGGAGAGAGACTGAAAGCCCTGCCTGACATTAACCAATTTTTTTTTTTTGACGTAGTAAAATTAATAATCTGACTTGAGCCTCAACTGCAGAACACATTACAAAGTAAAGAGCGAAAATTTTATACGTTGAAACAACATCGGTACTGTATATGCACATCATTAAACAGCTTCAAAAACCGTATTTGTCAATAATAATCATCGTGTACCGACGCGTTTCTGGATTAACTGACGGAGAAGGGCCAAATCCGACACAGAAGTGCGGTCGTAAATCCCACTTACCAACAGCCACCAACTCAGTTAGCTCAAGTTTTGGCTAACATTTCAACATTATATTTAGTCACCTAGCAACACAAAATTTGTACGAATGTACTCACACAGCAACACGGTCTACCACACTTTCTTCCTAAGTTGATGTAATCAAAAGTCACTATTTCACTTTAACGTGTATATTAGAACGCCACACGAAGGCATTAAACTCTGACAAGCTATTTCTCGGTGCTTGGTCCACACTTTCCTCATTTCTAACCCACTCTGTGGGACTGTGAGGGGCTGCTTACCGACAAATGTTTCTACTACGAGCCGAGTCCATCCTCCGTGTGTTTTGAACGAGCCGCCGCCAAGCCTTCACCATCCACGTTATCTAAATAGTTGACAGCTGGTTCCTCGCACCAATTAACCTGGCAACGAACCAATAGAAACGTGACGCTGACGTCAGCACGTTACGCACTCCATTCAGAGAGTTTATTGAAGGACGCCAATCACAGCAGGGAGCAACTTGAAAGAGTTGTATGATCCACCTCATGATAAAAAAAAATTCCAACAAAATAAAAAATAAAATAAAAATAAACCGAGAAAATCACCGTTGCCGCTTCTAATCAAGTTTATACGTGAGAAATCACTAAACTAAACGTGCAGATAGGTTACATGTGACCATTAAGAAGAAATCATTTCAAGTTTTGAACAAATATGTCAGTCCATCACTTACACAGGCATAGAGGTAGCTTACATCAACTTCTTTTTTTTCCTTTCTGTTTTTGGTGTAATTGCTCCTTTGCCAACTTGGCACACTGCACACCAGCCAGTAACATCAGGATTTCAATGTGTAGCAGGAATTTAAGGCAAAAATAATATATGTCAAGGATTAGATGAGACAGCGGAATAATGTCACAGATCATACATTAGAGGTAGATAGGGATCAAGACAGAATAAGAGCAAAAGAGGAGACCTGTGCTCACACCAGCAGGGACAGTAACAACAGAAAAGGGGAAGAAATGATTAGAAACGTCTGGATCCTGGCTACTGTATCGCAAGGCTTTTACACTCTATGCCTCACCTTTCAAGACACATCAGCCTGTACATAAAAAGAGCATTAATCTAGGACCGTGTCTATCTCCAATACAAAAGCACCCTACGATATTGGAAGATGTTCAATTTTCATCAAGTATCCCAGTAATAATGACATGGTTAAAAATGCTGGCTTAAGGTAATTCCTGCACATGAAACCATAAAATCCAAACTCCTCATTGGGGAGAGGTTTGATGGTATTCTTGGTGATATATTTGGTACAGTCTAAAACTAAAACAGGCAGGCATGTAATATGAAAGAACACATATGAACTAATATATGAAACAAGTTGATAAATTCATGTTTTGCCCTTAGAAATACAATCAAAAACTACAAATAATTTGTTACAGAATTACAAAGAATAACCTAACAAATATATTTAAATGGTAAATTCATTATATTTTGGATATCAAAAGGAAGAAAGAAAACATGCTGTCCCTTGTACTTCAATGGGTCATGTATGTATGCGTGTATAGTGTCAGATTCAGAAATAAAATCTTTGCAGCACAGTCCAACAGTTCACACTTGGCTAGATGGCTTTAAGACAAAACCTAAATAAACTGGATCTCACATTTATTGACAAATGGCAAAATGGTATTGCACACATTGCTGCATTAAGAGAGAGCTCTACACTGCTGGAGCCAGCCCAGTTTGTGTTCTTTATACCAAATGGCAAAGTGGTGGTCAGTGATAATGATGATGATGATGATGATGATGATGATGATGTAAACAAATACCAGCTGCTGCATCTCTCCCGTCAGTTAAGTCTGAAAACACAATACAATCACTTGTTTGTTTGAACGGTGCCACTGGTGTGAGAATGTGAAATGCTTTCCCTTTGCAGCACAAACACAGAGCTGAGGGGAGCGAGGATGAGCTCCCTCTGCACACTGCTCTGGGGTCAGCTTCGCTAACAGGATGAAACAGGAGCAGCCTCATTGAGAAAACATATCATTCTTCCTGTTACGTGACCGTTGTGGGAAACTGGGACTCGCAGCAAATGATTCCAGATGCTCGTCACATGCACGCGCACACAAACACACGCATAACTGTGCTGAGGGTTACGCTGACACTGCGAAGACTCTGCTGATTGTATTAGCACTACCAGGTGAATTTGCCTCATCTGCACCTTAGAAATCCATCCCGTACTACAGTGCTTGTACTGAATGCAGTGTTTCATTATAAAATTCAGTCTGTAACAGTATTGCTAAAAGCAGTTTGTGCTGGAGACTGCTAATACATGTCCTTGTAGATCTCCTGTAGTAGAGGGTGGAGCGAGGTCTCCGACTCAGTTTTTTTGATCTTTTGGACGAGCTGAGCGTTCTCTGTAACCAGCTGACGGAGGTCAGCCATCTTCTGAAGCAGTTTTGGGAAGAGGTAGACAGAGTCAGAGTGATTTGCGTGGAGGTGAAGGTCCAGGGCCTGGAGGATGTTGTCCTGACTCTGCTCCACCTGCTTCACGTTCATTAGCCCGGGACGATCTAGTGCAAAAAGAGGAAAAAGCCTGTGATGAGTCACAATTTATGCTGGGCAAACAAGACATGCAAAGACAAGTTAAAACCCGTTTTAGAATCTTACTGGCATGTAGCAACATGATAGATAACCAGTAGCTGTTATGTGGCTGGTTATAGACAATTTCTTTCTGGTGGAACCAGCCCCGAAAACAGACACCCTCTCTACTTTTAAGATTAGCCTTAAAACATTGCTGTAGGACAAAGCTTATAGTTACAACTGGATCAGCTGAACAACCCCTTAGTTGTGCTGCTACAGGCTCAGTGATTACTTTTAAATCACTGTCTTATCTTTTTCTGGATGCTATAAGACTCGAACCTTGATTGTACCTTCTAACAGTTTCAATGCAGCACTTTCAAAGAGGTTTCAAGAGCTACAGACACACTTCACAAGATTTGAATCTTCATACTTGACCAGAAAGCTGCTCAGGCTCACCTCCACAGAGAATAATGGCAGCAACAAACAAGGCCAGATCACTGTCATCCAGCTCCAGAGCATTGAACTTAACAGCAAACTCAAACTTTGGCTCCATGATCTCACTGAAGGGCTTCCGTAAGCTGCGCAGAAACTCCCGTGTCACAAAGCCTTTGCCATTGGCCACCAACAGTCCATCTTTGTTCATGAGAGATGGCAGCATGGCAAAAATAGCCTCGTGCACACCGTACTTTAACAAAGTCACCTGCAGTAAGCACACAAACAGCTGTTTATTTGTGCTTTCCTAAACTTGGATATACTAATAATTCTTTGTTATATGAGACAGCGGCTTACCTGGTCATTAAGGAAGAGGTCCACAAACCCTGGAATGCACTTGGCAAACTCTGTAAGCTCTCGCACGGTCTCCACCGTGGTGCACTGACAGCGGTAGAACACATGAACCCCAATCTCCTTGGCCAGAGGCGCACCTGGAGTTAACTGGCTCCACACCAAACCACTCTCTGCTTTCCAGAGGGTGTCCACATCGTAGATCACAAATGGCTAAAAGGAAAATGCATTAAAGGGAGAAAGGTCTGAGGGAAAAATTCACATAACTGAGTTTTGCATAAAGCCAAGCATGGCTGAAAGACAGGAACATACTGAGGTGCTGCTGGTTTTGCCCATCAAGATGCTGCGGGCTCTCTTCTTGGTCATACTGAGGTTCTTCAGGTAGGCTGTATTGACTTGTTTGGCTAAAGTCTTCAGGTCTGAGCCACCTGGTTTGCTGACGTCCAGCTCCTCTGCGAGTATGCCTGCCACCAGCTTCTTCCTCTCCGCCTCAGGCATTCGTCCATATCTGATTGCTGAGCAAAAACACCCACAGAGACGGTGTTGAGAGGATATTTGCAACACTAACGAGTTCTGAAACCTCTTTGTGTTTTGGAACAACTCAGAGCATTAACAATGCAACACACCATCCATGTGCTACAAAAGATTGGAAAGGCTTTGACATGAAAACAGCAGATTTGTTTCCTCCTTTAGACACAATAAAACTCTTGGATCTCTCAGGCAGCCCATCTTCAGCTGGTCAAGAACGTAGAAGCTAGACTGGCTTCAGGTGAAATTCACATTCATTTTAAGATTTTATTACTAGCATATAACGTCCGTCCTACATGGCCAGACCCATTCCTGTATAGCAGATATGATGACAGCTTATTCCAGCAGTTGGCCTTTCTGATCGTCTCATCCGGGTCTTTTAACTGATCCATGCTCTTATTTTAAAGCTAGTGATGACCACACTTTTGAGGCTGTCTCCCCTAAACTCTAGAACAGCCTTCGTCAACACATCAGGTTGGCTGAATCTGTGGTTTGTTTTAAACAACTGCCCATTATTTTTGGCTCTTGTTCTTCTAATGCGTGTATAGAAGTGCACATGCAAGAATGAATGCATGACCACATGTTTGACTTTACATTTCTATGACTGGACATGCACAGTTATCTTTAATGTGAGGTTTTACTCAAACAGTGAAGCACTTTGTAACTGTGTTTTAAAAACTGCTACACAAATAAACTGATCATCATCTTAGTATTTTCAGTGAATCTCAGAAAACACTTAAGCCCTCACCATCGTGGGACATTCCCAAAGACAGGCACTTCTGGAAGCGACAATATTGGCACTTGTTACGATTTTTCTTCTGAATCTTGCAGGAACGCTCACAGCGCTCATATTCCAGTTTCATCCGCACAGTACGCCGGAAAAAGCCCTGCACAAAGCAAAGCACATCTAGTTAAGCAACTCACACAGTTGGGGGGGGGGGGGGGGCACAGAACTTCCCACTCAATAATCTGTTGTGGGTAAAAGAAAAATGTTTTACCTTGCATCCTTCACAGGCATGTACGCCGTAGTGGAAGCCAGAGGCCTTGTCCCCGCAGACCTTACACTCCACACTGATCCCGGAGCTTGTGCTGTCCTCTTGGCCCAAACGCAGCTGTTCTGAGAGCGAAGGTGATGAGGTATGGGACAGGTCTGCATATAACAAAAAATAATAGCATTTCAGTTCAAGTACAGCTTCTGAAAATTTAAGAGAGTGGAAAGTCTTACCTGTGTAGCTCGATGATGCGCTGCTGTTTTTCTTGTTGCCACTGTTCTCCTGATCTTCCCCTTCTTTCCGTCTCTTCTTCTGGTCCCTTTTCGGGTATTTAGAAGCAGGGACTACCTCCTTCTCCTCCTTTTCCTCCTCATCTTCACTCTCCCTGCGCTTTAACTCTTTCAGATCTGCCACCTCGGAGATGCTTGTCGCACCACAACTGTCTGAGCCTACAGACTCTGCCTGCGGTGGCGTCCACCTGACGTCAGCTGCGTCCTGGGGGCACTTTGGCTCACAGTAGCCGTTCACCCCGTCATGCTCCTCTGGGGCAGTTTGTTGAAACCCGTCCATGGTTCCTGTTGCAGCTGATTCAGCAGCTCATCTCCTGTCACGTAGCCACCATAGTTGCACTATTTAAAAACAGAATCAATCTACTTGAAATACACCTTACTAAAAAAATATATCTGTTAACATGAGGTTTATTTACACAACTAGAAAGAATAGCTAATCACACTTTAGAGCCCACATATCATCAAGGGTTCCATTTAATCCAGCATGCCAGCGGTTAAGAGTCCAGTTTCAGCTTGCCATAACAAACCAGCAAAGCCAAAATAGAGCCCTATTTTTTTTAAATAAGCACACGGGTGAAACTCACATAAGTCTTGTATTCAGTTTAGTATAGCAATAATAAATGAGATGAATGCTGTTCAGTAATCTTCAACAGAGTTTGTTTAGGTGCCTTTCAGTCAGTTAGGTTTTGTTATAACAGCCAGGGAATGTCTTTTAAAGAAATAAGCTCATGACCTGAGACACAGATGTTATGGAATCACGCCTCAGTTACTTCAAAGCCAACGGAACAGACAGACAAGACAATAATAAGGATATATCTACATTTTCAATCCTGATTTAAAACATCACAGAGCACTTTACAGGAATATTAACACAGACACTGTTTGGGGTAACTGTTGCTAGGTTCGGTTAGATTTAAATACTTTATTATAAATGAAAGATTGATTTGCTTATTTGCAGCACTGTCCAGAAAAGCCTGTACATACATCCAGAGATGCCATCTCAGTATTACTCAGTAATTACGTATTAGTTAGCAGCATGTAGAACGAAGCCGTGTCTAACAGTCACACTTAAACAGGGGTTTTCCTGGCTCAAAAAGGGTGGACTGTGCACATAAGGACAAGTGGTCTGCAAATAGTTCAGACGAAAAGTTTTCTGTTACCTGCATTTTCCTGTTATCTTTTGGCCTTTTTATGAACCAAAAATGTATTTTTAAATAAAGAAAAATCAAACACCACTTGAATAAACATGTTAAAAATCACAGTCCTGCCAGCTTTCCCTTTATTGGAAGGTCAAAACCTCTTTGGTAACCACTGTAAGTTCAAAGCAAAAAGCTACTTTCAGCTTCTCCCTTATTCATAATAAGTTGCCACAGCGGGTAGCCTCTTCAGCAGTTTTTTTTCCTCCTCCAGATGGCAAAAGGACTGCCACTCATATAGTGCCTTTCTACTTAATTTGAGCACTCAAAACACTTTCTACTGCAAGTATCATTTGCCTAATAACACACACACACACATATATATATGCAAAATTTTGCATTACTTCACATAATAAGATGTTTAGTATATGCCTGTGGTACCTTTAACAAAGTTATTTTTTATAGTAGATTATATGGAGATTATCTACTCTTTATGCAGCTGCAACACAATGATTTTCATTGCGGGATAGAGTATCTATCAATTTGTGCACCGGTGTGGGAAAAAAAGAAGCTGAAATACTACTTTCAAAATCTTCAGTTTCATAATGAATATTCATTTATTTTGCCCCTGGAACATAACAAAAGCAAGAATTTCACAACCGCTACATCACTTTTAATCAAAATAAGGGCCCACCGCATTTCCAGCACAGTTCAGCCAGTAGATCGTAATAGTAAGGGCACTAACTTTATCTCTAACCGAGCTTGAAGACATCTGTATTATTGTTTGCCTCACTTGCGATGGGGTGCGGGGGGTATTTGGCGGCTGCTTTTAAAGGAACAGGGTGCATGCACTATGTACACACTGAGCAGTGCAGCTTGCTGATGGAGGCGGTGGGGGAGAGGGCTTTGGGTTGAGGGTTACAATTTTTTTTCTACCCCGGGGCCCTCTAGCGGATTAAAAAGTCCTTGTTTGTAGCTGTGCCTTAACAAACAGCTACAGTGTTTACATATTAGAAATAAATGTTGTTGTTTTTTTCCATAAAGGACACACTCATTGTAATTCAAAGGCTACGCGCTGTTTTCATAATGCTTAACACCAAATTAGGGGTGTTAGGACTTGTCCAGTAGACAACCTGTCACACTGGTTCTCGGAAGTCTCTGCTAACATTACCGTGTAACTGCATGAGTCACTGACAGGACTGTAACTGGATACAAGCGTTTGAAAAATGAAAGGACAACCGAGTTACAGACATGGCTGCCGCCAAACTTTCTTATCTCACTTAAAGTTTAAACTGTATAGGCTTTAAAACTGAGCTCGTTCAGCCGTCGGCTCGGTTAGCAGCTAGTTAGCCACTACCTTGAATTGTGACTGAGTCCTACTATCAGCTAGCCGTTAGCACGGCTGACCCAAATTCCCGTTTGTGCCTTTAAATCACGTTAGCTATCCTACCAGGTTAACTTACCTCTCCCGGTTGTGCTGCTGCTTCAGAAGATGTTTATGCCTCCCGGCTGAGGTAAACAAGCCACAAAAGCAGTCCCGAGTCCCGTCCCGGATCGATCGGCTGTTGACAAGTTTGTTTGCTTGAAGCTGGAGTTAGCGATCTGACGTTAGCTCTTGCTGTAAGCTAACTACTATAAACTTAGACCGAGTCAGGCCTCCGTCCATGTAGAAACCGGGCTGACGAGACGGGAAAAACAATGTGGAAATCTTTGTGGGCTACCATGTCACATGCAAAAAAGTGGAGTTAACTAGTAATCCCTCCCCGAGTCTATCCCTGGCTTTGCTTTTACTCTGCTTTGGTTTGGTTTGCTTCACTCCCCTCTCTCCTCCCCCTCCTTCTCCCTCGTCACATGCCACAGCACAGCGCCCCCGCTGCACACATACACACAGAGCGTACAACCGACTGGATGTAACTACTGCAAACAGAAGAGTCAAGGTCTCGGTTGAGTTGTTTTTGACATGGACATATATTCAGCTTTGACTGACATTGACCGCATCTGCCTTAATGGAGACACACAAAGAGCACGTGGCTGAAATCCGTGTGGGAAAATGTGCGATTTATAACTGTAGAGACTGAACTGGGCTGCACGCTTTTGAATCTGAATGAAATGGGCTATTGTTACTCTCCATTACCAATCAAAGAGCCTTTGAGGAAATAAACATGCCTTACAACTAGTTTATACATATATAATCAACTTTACGCGAAACCGTAAGTGACCATGTATCGAAGAAGAGGTTTTATTTTTCGTTGGTTTATATTTCTAAATTAATTTCTGTTCAAATAAACATTAAGGCAACATCTAATATTAAGAACGACATAATATAGAAGGAGGGAGGGTAGCAGCTTATTTCTCCTCTCAGCTGACACTGCTTAAAAATGTAACACTCATAAGAAAAATAGGTCGTCTCATCAGCTGTCTCGGAAGCTTGTTTCTGCCACAGATTTATTTTATTCATTATTTATTTATTTATTTATTTTATTTTTGTCAGTTTGGGGGGTTATGAATTCAAAATGTCGAGTTTGGGGTTACTATCTGAAAAAAATGAGTGAGAAATCACAAAGTATCTAAGGAATAACTCCAAATTTTGCCCAAAAAAGCAAAAACAGAAAACAAAGCAGTCTTTTATGCAGAAACAAGCTTCCATTTAGCACTGTATGCCAAATGAGAGACACAGCTTAGATTTTGCTCTGCTGCACCAGAAACTGCAGTGAAGAGAGATTTTATATAGATGATATCTCTAAATTAACTGTTGTTTAAATAAACAACTATCAGGCAAATCTAATATCAGGAAAATATTAGAGTGATTATTCAAAAATTGAAAAAAAAAACCCCATAAAATAGTCATCAATTGCTCTCACTGTGCAACCTTTTGGCAACATTTTACTTTAACTTCCTACATTTTTAAACCATTATCGGTACTTTCTACTTGTTACTTTTGGTTTAAGGCATTTGAAGAGAGTTATTATTTCGTCAGCGTGGGCCTTTAAACATCAAACCGGGTCTAAACAGTAACACATGAAAGGCAGTCCTGTTCGTGTAATAATCACCAGGGTATGTGGCACAAAAAGAGAGGAAACAAGCAAAACTGTGTGCCAAAGTCGGAGGTTAGACTGGGCTGGTATTTTTAGTTATTTATTTATTTTTTGGCACAACACGACTGAGGCTGTCCATAAGTTGCGGTTGTGGTACTTCCGGCCCTGCAAAAAAGGAGCGAACATAAAACGAGTAATATTTTTTTTAAGTGGCAGGTAATTTCAAATGCAATTTTTCTATCCGATTAACAAACAACAGCAAACACACAAGCTCAGTGGTGTTTGAAAACTGGAAGATTAAACAGTGTAGTGTCAGTAGAGGATGGAAATCAGCCAGGACAACTCATGAAACATCAGCCAAATTCAGGTGTGTAAATCCACAAGGCGCAGTAAACCTCAGAGCAGCTGCAGCAGCACAGGTAAGCAGATCACAGCCTCATTTTTTCTCTGCTTGTGTTCTTCTTAACTGATTCAAGCCGAGCCTTTATTAGAAATAAAATTTTAACAGAAATAAAGCTGGTTTTCCTATCTACTAATATTATTTAATTATTACATTAATATAGCACAGGGTTCAGTAAGATTTGCACAAAAGTAGGTGGAAGAAATGTTCTTCAAAGAGCTGCTTTTTACTCGCTTACTTTGAGAATATTTCAGAGCCAGTACTTTTCCACTTTTACTTGAGTAAAGAAGTGGAAACAGTACTTCAGCTTTTACTGGAGTATGTTTCAAAACTACTATCTGTGCTTCTACTTGTTGCCACCTCTGCTTAAAACTGTGCATTAGTACACTGGCACATACAGCAGTTGGCCTGCAGTTTGCATTACCTGTCAGGGGATGTCTCTGTTTGCTCATGTGAGCCAGCTGAAGGTTTTGTCCCCGGAAGGCGTCAGATTAGTCGGAGATGACACATTTAAGGCCTCAGAAGTGAAGCAGACAAACTCAAACCGAAGCGGATGTGCAGTGTGCAACTTCAGCAGTGTCTGCGACTCTTACTTCCACACCGTGTGGTCTTTTGCATTTCTGTCACGTCTGCGTCACTACAACTCGTTTTGCAAACTCTTATTTAGCTTTTCCACTGTGTGAAGCACCAGGTTAAGATTTGAAACAAAAAGTTGCCTTATAGTTTCTTTGAATTGCACAATGCACTAAGTTTAACACAGTAAAGATGCAGGTACGGCTTCAAACTTCACTCTCTTTATTTACAGTAATGTTAAATGACATTAAAAACAGGAAGGTCATGACAGTTTTTTTTTTTCTTTCACGCCTCTTCTTTCTCTTTCCTGTTTATCAGGAGTGAAATTGTGGTAAACTTTAATACTGAACCAAGTTTCTAGATCAAAAAAACCTAAGCCACCTCCCACAACCTCGAAAATTGTACCAATAGAAATGAAACATTGGTATCCGTCTAAGTTACAGAGCTGCACAAAAATGAGCTTCCTGTGTGCGTGTAGGCTTTTCTCTTTGAACACCAGAGCTAACCTTGTATTTTCAGGATCTTTCTTACCGCTCATTTTCTTTCCGCTGAGGTATCAGTTACGTTCACGTCAGGCCTCACACAGGCGGCAGAAAAGGATTATTTGAGAAGGGGAGATATTGGAAAACGCACTCTCGTTAAAATGTTTTTAAACTGTTGCTGTCTGTGATACGAGGTCAGTAATATTTCAGCATTTAGTAGACGTGGTAGTACGGTAAATTCAGCTATATCCCCGCCGCTTTCATATTGTTCACAAACATGACAACCATCTCTTGCCCTTCCTGTGACGAGGCAGCCTCTATGACTCATCATTTAGGGGATATCCATGTCGCCATTAGATGCATGAGAGTGACGTTTGTCTAAATCACATCCAGCTCTGCTGTCAACATTTTCTTTGCTCTCCTCCCGATCCCCCGATCCCGAACTCCTGAGACGCAGCCCGGGGTCTCGCTGCGTTGGGATCTGGAAGCTCGTGAAGGAGCTTCCCAGCGATGGTCTCTTCTCTGAAAATGAAAACAACAAAGCGGATAACTGAAATCAGACTTAGGCTCATACAAAAACCAAAAATAAAAACAGAATTCACAGTTAAAATAAAGTATAGTATCGAATTTAAGGAAGTATATTTGCAGAAGTTCAAAATTAAATATATGAACCACCTATTTTGACCTAAACTTCACAGCCCCTGAGCTAAGCAAATGGTCACATCAGTCCTGGCTGCAGCACAACAGGGCTAGAAGTGGTTAACACTTCTCTGCTGGTATAATGCAGCGAGACACATTTGAAAATCTGGTCTTGAAACGGTGCATGTCTGTCATGTCTCTGAGCAGGCAAGGACACATACCGCCAGGTCCGATCGGCCGCATCAGTCTGTTCATCTGGACATTCCAGTGTTTGACGTTGGTGCTCGCCTGCCGAAGTTTCCTCTGGGCGGCCTGCCGGAGAAGAAGAGCTTAGCTTACCCTAGCTACTGATAAACAAGTGAACTGACAAACGCTTCCCAAAAACCTCGGTCTGTTGAAAAGTACCCAGAAGAGCCACTAAGACGTGAGCTCGCTTCCTTTTTGCTCTTTGTCTGTGACCTGATAAATAAACAAAGTGCTGCTGGTATTTTAACCACTAAAACTGGTCAATTTATTAAAAAGTTAAACTTTGCATCTCAATAAGGTTAAGGTTCACTACTGCCACTCTCAAGGCCAGATTTTGTCAAATAAAATCAAATATAATGAAAGTAATAAAAAGACAGAGTAGCCACCACTCAACAAGAGAAAAAAAATGGTGTCCTGTTTGAATCCTGTTCATAACTGATGTGCTTTTGAGGGACTGATCACGATGGCAGTCTGTTTAGTCTCATTAAAGTCTCTGCCATCTGGCATCCTGTCTTATCATTATGAATTTCAAAGTTATACTTGCAGCACTTCCTGGTTATCTAACTTTATCTGATGACTAGGGACTGTGATGGGTGGGTGGTTGTTTTTTTTGTAGCTCGTGAGATGCTTTCGTGTGTTGTTTTAAGCGCCTGTTTTGAATTTAACTTCTGTTTATTGGTTTGGTGTCAGATTGTCAGTGACTCTTGCGACAGGACAGCCTCTCGCTGATCTCATCAACACATTCTGTGGTGATTTATTTAAAAACGACAAGCAGCAGAAGCTCACTTCTTTTTTTCCATGTTCAGGGGGTCTGCAGTGGTATTAGGGGCCTGAGGCCTGAGGGGTATTAGCTTCGATAACATGCTGTAACTGAGTTACACGGTCAGTGTCAGGGTTTCTACCTACCACAACGTCCTGGTCAACTCTGTGCCGGTTGGCTCGAACCTCCTCCAGCTGTCTCTGCGCCTCCTCCAGGGCCCGGGATTTGGCCTCCATTTCCTGCTTCAGCTCCTGCTTCTCCCTCTGTGTCTTCGCAATGTACTCCTCCTGTTCCTCCTGCAGGTTCATCAGAGCCTTCATTTTATCCTCCTCCTCAGCCAACAACCTGAGCATGATGTAGAATGCAAAGAAGTTAGACTTTGAATAGATCATTTGTGATAAATGCAGGGGGCTCATCAGCGAGGTACTTTGGACCTGGGATGGGATAAATCGAGAGTGCAATGACAATGGTCTAGGTGGCTGCAGCGTTAAACAACTTCCTCTTTGCAGCTCAACTTCCTCAGGAACATAACGCAATGTGAACTAATTCAGCAACAGAGTTTATTAAATGCTGCTTGTACACAACACAACCTCCACCACCCTGCGCTAAGCTTTTTGCACTGCACACCTGGCTAGCTGCTTAAACAACTTTACCCTGCTTGAGCATAGCGGAAGGCCTCCTCATCAAGCCTGGCTTTAATCTCTTGCTGCAGCGCCTCCTCCAAACGTTTCTGCATCTCCTCCAACTCCAGGATCCTCTTCCTCTGCCTCTCTGCTTCCTCCTCTTTCAAAGCCATCTCTGCCTGCATACTGACTCGGGCCTTGTAACACACAGAAAGAAGCAAGTTAAAGTCGATCTGCATCTTTATGCTTTTAAAATCTTTCATTCTTTGTTTCCATGCTCACCTCCTCAGCCTCACGGAGCTGAATCTCCAGGGCACGCTGAAGCTGTTCGTGTTGCTGGCGCCTCCTCTGCTCATCCTGCTCCAGGAGAGCCTGAGCCTGCTTCTGCGCCTCCTTCAGGAGCTCCAGTTCCGCCAGCTTGCGCTCCCGTTCCTCCTGCAAGGCCCGCAGCCTCTGCAGCTCCTCCTCCTTAGCCTGTCGCCTTTTTTCCCGAAGCTCACGCTGTTCACGTCGCTTAAGCTTCAGATCTTTGTGGAGGGATTTCTTCCCCTCCACATGCAGCCTGATTGCCGTTTGAATGGCTGCAAAGAAGACACTGATGTTTAACATCTAAATAAATAATTAAAGCTTTTAAAAATTGATGTGAATTGATGAATGAGAGTCTCTTTTAACCTGTAGTCCACTCCTGTCGCTGTTTGGTGTCTGACGCACTCATTTCATACGTCTTGGAGAGGGTTTTAAGACAAAACATGCATCTCTTCCCATCTCGGTCTGGCAGCACCTGTTCAAAAAAGGGACACCCAGTTTATCTCTTAATACTGAGTAGTTAACTGTGAATGGTTTTGCAGTTTTTGAGTCTATTTTGTAAAAATAAAGGAGAAAAACATCAATTACAGGAAAAGGACATTTTTCTAACAACTCTGAAAGCTCAAAAAACATCTGCTTCCTACAATATAACACAATTTCAGCAGCTTCCTTTGAAGTATCACATGCTGGGTGAAGTGATGAACTTATGACTCAATTAGTTATTCATGCAAGAATTTATATTGCCAGGATTTTTGCAATATTGTGGTCTACACTTATTCCAAGTCACCATTGTAATGATCATAATCTGAGCTGTACTTTAAATGTCTTTTATGAACACAATGAGTCATCAGTCACGTTCCAGGCTGGAAACAATATGCAAAACTTTTTGCTCGAGATTTTTCTTAAAAGAATCCTCTTGCAATAAGATGTTACAGTTGAAGGTGTGACCCATGCTTCGATCACAGTAAATTCCTTAGGGATTTATAAGAAGCATAAAGAGAAGCAAGAAAATGTTACAACAGCTTTGCTAGAGGCCTCGGTATTTAATCAGTCCACAATAAAATACAAGGCTGGGATATTAAGAGTGTTGCTAGTTCCCTGGGGCCTGGCGTGCTGCGGTGATCACAACAAGAGAACAAACCTGAGTATTCAAAGAGGTAAGAAGAGCAGCTAACAGCAAAGCACCTGCACAACTCTCATTTCCTTAGTTAATGTGTCCAATGCAGCATTTACACAAAACCGAAGTAGTGTTAACCCTCTGAGGTCTACATCATCTACACAGGTGAAATAAACCCTCATTAGTCCTCATATGAGGAAATACCTTTTGTTTACAGCTGATTCTTACTGTGTACTCATCAAGTCCAACTAATCTCAAAAACCATCGTAAAGACGAGCTCATGTTTCTTGAGGACCACCTGTGTGTTCTGTAATAAACCTGGGGTGACGCTGTGTGGACTGCCGAGACAAACGTGAACTTTCATGCAATGCGGGGGGGAAAGGGCACTGCACACCCACGATGAAACCTCCTCCTAATTGCAAAGCACGGTAGGTGGAGTATCGCTCATCATAGTCATAGTTTGGGGCTGTTCGGCATGCGTACTTCGCCATGATTAACGCCACAATGACTTGCACGCGTGGAAGTCCAGACACCGAATGCGACCAGTCAACAAATGGTCTGTGGCATGGGCTGAAGAGGGCTGATCAATCAAGACGTCCCAGAAATGTTGCAATATTTCACGAACAGCCACAGGAAGCATGTGATGGATGTTGTGACTGCTAAGGGGGGGATCTACAAGTTACTACACTCGGGAATTCACTTACTGCTCTGCGATTAATTACTCAGAGCTGATACAAGAATAGATCTCATTGCGCTTTTAGTCATCTTTGACTGTAACTGGGATGAATTTCAGACCACATTTTATGAGCAATAAATGCAGAGAACCTAATAACAGTTTCCAATTTCCTTCTTGCAAGTGTATTACGCAGTATGATAACTGAGGCTGTGTCCACACGAAAAGTGACCAAGACACCTTAAATAGCAACCGCTGCACTCTTACTTCTGCTTCACTTTCAGCTAGGAGTGAGGCTAGCACACTAATCGCCTCAGTTCCCTTGAGCTCTGCGAGATTTGTGAGGAAATCTTGTTTTTAATATGACCCATGGCAAGCTTCAGTTTTCAGTCTTACCTTGTTTCATTATGACACTCAAAATATGAAGCAGTGCCAACACAAGTCAAAGCACTGGAGTAGAAAGATTTTGGATTTTGCAGTTATTTACTTCCTTTTATGAAAGGTAGTTTAGTCATTTGAGAGAGGCTCGGTGTCACCTTTGCTGATCCCGCATCATAAAAGAAAATCATGAGCCACCGAGTAAAAGTGGGATTATTCAGCAACATTTCACGTTTAAATTTCTTTTCTTTATAGCATGTTTATTAATGTCGACATGACTTGTGCTGATTTAACTGTGAGGACGGTCTCATTTTCTCTCAGACTCCAAAAAAATTTCTTTGCTCTTGTAAACGTGAAGCAATAAGTTTGACTTAAAAGAAACTGAAATATATAAAATTAAAGGTATAAACTGAATGTATGAATTACATTTAATTTGACCAGATTCCAGGGTCTTGCTGGATTTTGTACTTGCTCCCCTTTTTTTGTCTTGTTTAACCTTTGGAGGGACAGGATTTCAAATTTTGTAGTAAGTTACAAGTTAAATCAAAGATGAGGGGCGTGATAAAAAATAAAACTACAAAAAAACCTTAGTGTAGCACCTTGGGGAAGTCCCCGCCCTACACTGAGAACCACTGCCTGAATGTCATTTAAACGCCTGCTTGAGTATTTCTGCTGTGGAGATTTTGTTATTAAGAGTTTCTCTAGCTGTCACAGATGATTATCTCTCCAGCTGTTTACCTCCACGCAGCAGTTCTCATCCAGGGCTATATTGCCTTGGCAGTCCTTGCGGTCCTCTCCAGTGTAGTAGGACAGGTTGCTCGGCTTTAAGGTGAACCACCGTTCCTTCCAGTTTCTCCTCAGCTGGCCTTTTTTCCATAGATAGCCCTGAACGCAGCCAAACCGACACACAGATCACTGAAATAAATCTCACCTGGGAGGAACAAAAACAGTATTCTGGAGGCACATCAGTTTCCTACCTCTTTGAGGACGTCACCAACTATTTCCCTGTACACTTCCTCTATAGCCATGCTGATGATGCTCGCATCAATTCCTCTGGTTACCTTCCCGGAGTTCATCATCTCTAGAAACGTCCAAACAGTAATTCCACTCTGCTGCACTGAGTCTTGAGAGAAGAAGTCCTCTAACTCGACACAGTTGAACTCAATACTCATAGCCATACATATTTTCTTGAGGAGGTACTCCACCTGCATGGAAAGAGACAGGATTAATAACTCAGCTGGACTGTCCCTGCATGCTGTGCTGCACTCAAGCAAGCTATATATTACACCAATCACCTTTGTGTGCAGCTTTAAGGAGTATTTAAAACTGAATTTACCATTTTTAGTGACCATCACCTGCTTATTAAGGACTAATTCACAGTAATGCTTTAATATTACTTTGTTATTACACTTTTATTTGTAGTTTGAATCCTTCTGCTTAAAACACAACCGCAAAAATTGTATCTAATAGTGTAGCTGAAAGCAGCTTTTGCTATTTCCCAATAAGGCTTTCTCTAGTAACAGTATAACCTCACAGTAGCCCTGGCTACACCACAGAGTGCTTTGCACAGTGGCTGATGTGTGAAACACGCTCCAAAATACAACTGGATAATGCTTTCTTAAACCGAGGGCGACAGAAACGACCCTGCCCTTGAAAAATTGGGGCTTTCTCTTGGCAGCGGCTGTGAAGAATACACGACAGGAAACCAAAATGAGACTTTGCAAGTGAGAAACAAGCCCACACTGCTGCGTGACATGAGCACCATGTTCCATGGTGGCAAGAAACAAACTTTCAGCTGGTGTACTCGGTGTTTGTAAAAGATCCAACAGCATTTTTAGGTCAGCGATTACTGAGTGCAATCTCAGACTCAACAACAGAGCGCGGAAATGTTGAGTAGCTTAGGGTCTAAGTTTGGAAACGGGTTTCTTTTGCCACACACACTTGTGATTTTTTTCCTCTTTCGGTTACATTTTCAATACGATAAACAATGCATCGTACTAATGATAAGAGTTAAGAGTTAAACCCACCTCGTCGGGAACCATAACCAAAGGGTACTTGTCCTCAGAGAGAAAATTAAAAAGGCACCAGAGACGAAAAGCATCTTTGTCTGGTAAAATGGTGCTGCTGCTTCGGTCTGGCTGGTAGTTTTTCTTCGCAGTAAGAGTCCAGCAGAGCTCGTCTACGTTTTCCTTAATAAAAGAACCTTCCACAACCTACAAAGACACAAGACCAGGGGTTTAAAAAAAGCTGTCTGAATTATGAAACACATGGGGCTCGCAATACGCTGAAATAAACAGAGCACACTTGTTTGGGGTTTTTTAATCACCTTATCCAGGATGTATTTATTGAGGTAAGGCATATAACCCTGACTGGAAACTGGGCCATCATCGTCATCCCTGAAGTGCTCCTCCAAAGCCACGGGGTCATGTGGAATACACAAGACTGTGCACAGGTTGTGAGACAATACCTGAAGGATCACAATATGAGGATATTTAACAAAGAAAAACACTGAAGCAGAAAGTCATTTCAGTTCTCGTTGTCCAACACAGGACTGTGCAAACTGTTTTATTTGTTGTCCTGTGAGGCTGCTAACCGCATCTGCCTACAAATTAATAATTAAGTGTCTAAAAAAAGAGATTACACGTCATGAGTTAGGAAGGATGAAACTTTCTGTAGAAAATAAAAGGTAAGTGACATGATGTATAAATATATTTATGCTGAATCAGAGAATGAAGTGTTTGAGGAACTGAACTTTTAAATTTCTGCTGCATCGTTTTTTCTATAAAAAAAATGTGTTTGCTCAAACATAGAAAAAAACGAGTCACCAGAGTCAGCAAAAAGCTTTAATTTTCTAGGAAAGCTGCCTGGAAAACCGTTCAGACGCACTAGTTTAAGAGTGGAACGACATCAGTAAAGCAATATGACCGTTTTAAAGTTTAAAAAGATGAAAATCGAGCTCAGGAAAACATCTCCAAGTTCTATTAGAAACTTCAAGAGTTACACTTTACTCTTTGTGAGCAGTGGCATCACTGACAGCATGTGAAAAACAGTTAGATTAAAAAACACTTTTCCTTCTTGTTCTGTTTCTTCAGCTGAAACCATGCAACATCTTGAGGTATCGTGCATTTTATCAGACAGCTAGGTTCTCTGTGTGTTGAGCCATAACCACATCCTGTCGCCAGTCTCCAACGCTACAACATCTGTCAGTTTTGAGGCCAAAGCATGCAAAGTGTTTGCCTGCGAGTGCCTCTGAGCAGCGCGGCGCCTCAGAGAAGGCTGAAGGCACGAGGGGGGATAAGCCCAGTCATGAGGCTGACTCGCTGAGAGCCAGGAGCGCCGGGCGGCACATTCGCAGGAGCGTGGAGGTGGCTGGAAATGGAGTCTGAGCCACAGCGAGACCGAGTGACATAACAATGAGATCAACGCAACATACAGTAGCCTCGTTTAGGCTCTGTGGAAAGAGACAACGGTCACCAACATGTGTCCACTTTATCCCTGCTCTCCCTGTGACAATGTCCTTTTTGACGTGTTCGGCCTCATGTTGTGAACCTACTCTATTCAACAGGCTGCTCTCTGGCCCGGTGCTGTGCCAGAGGGTCCCTTTGCACTACAAGCTGGTACATGGAGGCCCAATGTGAGCACAGCTTGGAGATGAGGGCTCCCATTCATGTACAGACTGAGAGCAAACTGTTACTCTCGTGCTTGCGCCGGACAGAGGTGCATATTGTGCCCTCTTTCAGCAGCTGAAAGCATTTTATTCAAAATAGGGGGAACAAATTTGTTCCTTGTTGGGCAGTACGCGGCTGAAAAAAACGGAGTTTTACACAGGAAATGTTAATGATGATGATGTTTTCTGATAAGTAGTATCAGACGTTGCACACCATTATTTCCTGACACATAAACACATAGTAAAAGTAGTAAACCTTGAGATTTAATTTGCTTTGTTGCTGAAATTGCTTTCACCTCCTTCACAACCAACCCGCATGATGTAAAATGCAACGAGGTAGGAAACGAGGGTAAACGGTAAGAGATGAGTAAGTTCTCGGGCAGGAAAAAAAAAAGTTTCTCTAGTTCCATCTTCCAGGTAGACGATCCCTCACTCACCTTCAGCTGAGACTTGGACACTTTCCCGCTCTTCTCCAGATCCAGGGCTGTGAAACCATACCAGATGGATTTAAGCAGCTCAGACCGCAAGTCCATGTCTGCTGCAGCGTTATTTTCTGGTTTCCTCCTCTACGTCTCTTCTTCTTCCCTCTACTGTTGACACGGGTGACAGGCATACACCCACGCTGTGCTGCTGCTTTCAGGCAGGCATGGGGCTTTACTGTTCTGCTGGCAGCGGCACCTGCTGGATTACAGTGGTCAGTGATGAAGAGGGAGGGTCTCGCTGTTTACCGCAGCGTCAGATCTTGCCCTGCAGTGGCAGAAGCGTTTTAATCCTTAGAAAATTTTAAAAGAAAAAACTCCATTATGCATTGCCTAGAAATCTACAAGTGTCTTGCTAGGTTTAGTAGTGTACTTATGCGCCTGTGCAAAAAGTGTTGTTATTACAGTTTTATATTTTTAATGTTCTAAAGTTATATCACTGATTTACTGAAAATCTCCAGCCCCTTCCTGTGCACCTTGGACAGAAAGTAATTTGCCATTCATTATAAAGGTTTATTATTTAAGTTAGTAACTAGATGGGCTCCTGGCAGTGCTGCTTTTACTTTCATTTCTCTGTGAAGTAATCTTTCAGTTTGTTTTCAAGGTCCTGCTTATTTGGGTGATACCTGCACTGATGTGTGAACATAAATAAGGCATAAAGAGCCAATTAAGTGACAGTGAATGATAATTGGCCTTGCATGTGTATAGCACCTTTCTGTACAGTTGAGCACTCAAAATACTTTTTACTACAAGTCTCATTCACCCAATCACACACCTTGTTACAGTACTTGTATCAATGTCCAAAGGCTTTCTAACATTCACAGCACGGTCACACTGGGATTACACTGGTGGAAACTCGGGGTACCTTCCCCCAAGTGTACTTTGCCACATGGATTGATCCACTGACCTTCCAACTGGTAGAGGACCCACTTTGTTACCTGAGGCCACAGAGCATCTGCAAAACAAGCCCAAATCATCACCCCTCCACTGGTGATGTTACCCGCTGTTCTAGAAATCTTCTGGTTTGTTCAGATATGATTTTGCAATCAAAGCTGTGCTCCCATGTTCTTTTGAGAGGGAAGCCATACTTGTTCAGTCTTTTTCTAATCGTACTGTGACGAACTTTAATCTTTAACATGCTGACTTAGGCCTGCAGAGTCTGAAATGCAGCTCTTAAGGGTTTTTTGCAGTTTCTCTAACCTTAGGGTGAATTTTCAGGGATGATTAAAATATTTTTTGGGCAGCACAAATTGTTTCTCTAAGATCACTGCATTAGCTTTATGTTAAGTTAGCTTGTCTCATCGCTACTTTAGCAGCTGTCTGTTAAATGTAGACTTCTTGTTAGCTAAGTTTACCTTATATTGTTTATATTTGCATATAAAATACTAACAAATGCAGAATGGCTTGGTAGCTTGACTTTACCTTAGTGCTGTCCAATGAATTTAAGAACCTCTGACATCAATATTCAAATATGTGTCACGGACCCGGTTCCGGGGACTTTTGAGGACCATTGTTGTTATTGTTGTTATTGTTGTTATTGTTATTAGTGTATTGGATGTATGTTTGCTGCACTGTGCTCTTGTGTTCCATGCTGGTGTGTGGGTGTGGGTGTCTGCGGGTGTGACTGAAGGATGAAGGACAGCCACCTGCAGGCCTGATGGGCGTGGCCCTGCCGGCTGCCGGTCACGCCTAGGTTCTCACACACCTGCTTCTGATCGGGCTCGTCGGGGGAGCTACTTAACAGAGCGATGGAGCTTCCTCCGGCGCAGGATCGTTGAGTTAGACCAGGGCCGG